ACCCAAGGGTACCATGAAGTTCCATGACTGCACGTTTCTCCACTCACAAAACACTATTAGTTCTAGACCTCCCCCCCGTACTTGAAGAAACCTGACGTCTGGCCCTCTGTAATAAGTAGGGTTCCCCCTACCCTCACTCCATTATAATCCACCAACCCACTAAACAGATTTAGCAGTATGACAAAACTGTATCAGCAATGCAGTGTGCCAACCAAACCCAGGAGAGGTACACATGCTGCCTGCCCAATGTCAGGATGATTTAGGCCCCAGTTGCCGAACGTGCAAGGAGGGGGTACGCCACTCTAATCCAGTTTTACACTTTCCCACGTTTTGACAAGTCTGTTCCTTTCAATTCCCAAATGCTAACTGACAGGGGCCTTTGGACCTTGGCTCTGGGTGGGGTCAGTGGCCTGCAGCGCGACACAGGGGACAGGAGCAAGAGTTAGAGAAATAAGTCGGCAGGTATAAGAAGAAATGTGGGGAAGAGATCTTAGAAAGTAGTGCAGCTGTATGAAATGGGCCTGTGGTGCAGCACAGGGGAAGGTCACTGACTTTTATCCCTTGCAGTGGCCTTTGTCCTTGCACTTACTTTCTTTCATGTGGGAGTCCTGATGCTCAGTGTGATTTCCAGAAAGGTGACATCATGTTGAGAAGCAGAGGATAGGCTACAGTGTTCTCAAATGCTTACTGAAAGATAGTTTTCTGTTTTTTGCTTGATGACTTGCTGAACTTTAGTTTGATCCATAAAAGAGACTGGGAAATAGTCTGGTAAGAGGTTGGCTAAAGAACATGCTGAACTGTTTTGCCTTTGCATAGACTTTAAAGCAGGAATGAGACCTTCCTTAATGGTTAAAGCTGGATTTCCTGCTAACTTATCGCATTTTCTTTTCCTATCCTTAACCTCAGGGGCCGTTTCTATTACTGTCTCTTGGTTGGAGAAAGAAAAATGCCAGAGCAAAGTGAACACATTATTGAATATCATCCAGTCACATCCCCTTAAAAACTCTCCTCTCTTCCCCACCCTTTCTCTCTGTCTCCCATCAGTCATCTTAGCCCCTCGGGACTGTTCAGACTACAATGTGCTAGAGGTGAGGAAGAACGGCGTGTATCGTGTGACCCCTGATCCTCGAAACGGGACATTTGAGGTCTTCTGTGACATGGAGTCGTTTGGAGGTGGATGGACCGTGATACAGCAACGACTCGATGGGTCTGTCAGTTTTAACCGCACCTGGGCCGAGTATAAGAAAGGCTTTGGGAACATCAGGTAATGGGCTAGGTTATCATTCCAAGGTTCTTCTCAAAAGACATCATAGGATGGGGTAAAACACCTACTGGAAACCAAAGCCTGTAAATTCGTCGATTATAGACTTCCATAGAAAACCAGTTATATCCAACTGATATATTGAGGTCTTATTATTTAATAAATAAGTTCACACAGAATAATTTGTTTGTAAAATGGTGGAGGTGTTTGAGGGATTTCTCGCTATTTGTATGCAGGACAAGAGGCTCAAATACCACATATTTAGAGGGAGTGGAGTTCAGATGACATATGTATCTTTTAATATAAGAGGTTATATTGTAGACTTTTTTGCATGCTGACTGTAGTGCTGCCACCCCATACCTATACTCCTACCATATGCTCAGGTAACCATAGGGGTGAGTTAGACTGATACCTATCTAAGCTAAAAAAGTACACTCAACAGTAAACAAAGCATTAATTCAAGATTCCTCTGTTACTAATGACAAGTACAATTTATATATATATATCCATGCACACCCATCTGTGCACCAATAGAGTCATTTGTCCTAAATAGTTTTACCCTTTCTCCCAACTTGAGAGTGCCAAGTCACTCAGTGTTAAGGAGGAACTAATGATGCACTATGACTGATTTAAAACAAAAACGATGGGAAACAGTTCTCAGTGAAATTAAGGGAAGTGGCCGTTTCACACTGACTATATTTTGTTTTAATGCAGAGCCTCTACTATAGCCTCTAACTGGATTCAAATGTCAGCACATTTTCTCTATTCTCGTCTCTGCTCATGTAGGAAAGAGGTTTATATGGGAAATAACCATGGTTACCTCTTGATAACCATGCCTACAGATCTAGTAAACCCTCCCACTGAAAGGATAATGTCTCCACTCATCCTTCTTTTACTGTCACACAACTCTCCTCTTGCATCTCCTCCTTTCCTCTACTCCCCTGTGGGGATTAGTCAATTCTGTTTGAATAACTGTATCCACTTTCTAATCAAGTGTACAAGCACATGAGATTGTTTGTAATCTAGCTCTCATTTTGCTTAGTTCTATCACCACATTTCTCTGGCCTTTTCCTCTGCTGTAGAGGGGAGTTCTGGCTGGGCAATGACCATATTCACTTGATGACAAAAGCCAAAGACATGATCCTGCGTATTGAGTTGGAGGACTTTGAGGGTGTTCGGGAGTATGCAAAGTACGACCAGTTCTATGTGGCCAATGAATTCCTACGCTACCGGCTGTCTATCAGTGGATACAGGTACAATATTAGATTCTGTAAGAGCATGCATGTGTGATCAAATATACATAAAGGAGAACTACATATCAATTTTTTCATTGTAGTGGGACCGCTGGGAACGCCATCAGTTTCAATAAGCACTTCAACCATGACCAGAAGTTTTTCTCCACACCTGACCGCGACAATGACATGTACCCCTCCGGAAACTGCGGCACCTACTACAGCTCCGGCTGGTGGTTCGATGCCTGCATGTCCGCCAACCTCAATGGGAAGTACTATCACAAGAGGTACAAGGGGGTCAGGAACGGGATCTTCTGGGGAACATGGCACAACATGTCGACAGAGTACTACCCTACCAACTACAGGCAGGCCTTCAAAACTGTCAAGATGATGATACGGCCCAAGAACTATGCTCCCTAAGAGGACAGGTAAAGATTTACTAGGATAGTCAGGTGGAACAAACAAAGACAGAAAATGGAAGAACAAGTAGACTCAGAAACTCTTACACATAGTCATGCGTTTGCACACATTTACACATGCATACGTGTACACCGAAAAAGACCATAAACCCTATAGACAGTTTGAATGGATTAATAACAAAAGTAATTGTGAAAAAAATTAACTGTGCTATTACTTTTTTTCCACTGTGGTGAGTGTGGCCTTCAAATTGTTGGATTAAAATTATGATAATAAAAGACAATGGACTATGAATGATGATGGACCGATAAAAAAAACGTAAATGCAATGTAAAGGCCAGCCTCCTATAGGGGCCATAATATTAAACGGAGGGTTACCATAGGAGATTTTTCACTGTTTCTCTGACATTTCTCCAATTTCTGTCCTGCTGCCTCCTGCTATAAACCCAGCGGACACACCGCACAGCACACAGTAGTAGTAAAAACTAATGAGCTATCATTTCCCCTGCTCTAAATGGATTAATAATTAACAGCAGCCATTCAAGTGAGGTATATGAGAGCTAATGATACAGTTTTGAGTAGGCCTGAAATGCATCGCGAAAGACTTCATCCTGGGGTCAGAGTCAAACTGTTTAAAATGAAAAACTACAGGAAGCAATATACACCACGCTTTGGGCAGGAGTGCACAAGTAATAGCTTCTGTGCGGTTTATCTAATTACACTGGGACACTCTGCTAATGTATCATCATCCTATACAATATAAAACACCCCAGTATAAATAAACAGTCTGAGATACATTTCTATTGAATCATTCCTGAGTACATTCTACATTATTGATGCTTTAGTAAATTCTTCTTGACAGCAGCCATGGAGCAGGGCACTGCTGCAAGAAGAAAATAGTCCAATTGTTTTTCCACCCTTATCTCTGGGTGCACTGAATCACAGCACGTCTCTTGATTCCATACACCAGTTTTCACATGTAAAATAAAATTCCTCCCTGACTCACCACTTGTACAATACTGCTACCTAATGTTAGATAACTGTATTGCATCATTTAATCCATTCTATACACACTGTGAATGAGAAGGATGGGGAAAGAAATGTTTCACTTTGAGGACGTGTACAGTATTTATTTTAATTTGTGAGGAATGATAGCTTTTATATAAAACATAGGTCAAGGTTTAATGATTGTTGATATTTGAGAAATGATAAGGACGGTGCATTCTTGTGACCATTCATAGTAATTATGTGTGTATTTGGAGCTTTGTGTGTGTACAATATTGATCTTTTCTATCATTAATATTCAACTGTCATGCCAAAAGATATGCACTTTTTATATCAAAAAATTAATAAAGTTCTAACTACATGGCTGTGTACATTGCAGTGTTTGGAAGTTTTAAATAATATGGATGCCTGCTCATCTTTAAAAGAATATTCTGTATAGGATTTAGTTTTCAATGACTGTATACAAAAAGGTATACAGGTTTAGCATGAGTATCCATTAGTATAAATCCGCCGTCTAGAATACAGGGCTACTTGACGCCTGTAAAAACAGAAGGTTCGAGGTGCTGCATGCCCATAATAAATGGGTTAATGAGGTGTTGACACAATAAGCAACTCAATAAAAGAGTTTATTTGAATTTCACAGAGGATAAATGATCAAACTTTGGACCTGTGACTTTAATGTCTGTTTACTGTATGTGACGATCAAGTTAATAAAAAAATACTGTCCTCATCCACATGATGATGTCAAGTTCTAAGTATTCACTTTTGTTTAAACATTTTACATTTTAAGGTAAACATTGCAAGGAACATAAATCCACCCTCAGTACCACAATCTATATCTATTCTAAACATCAATTTAGCTGGAAAACAAAATGGTGAGGGATTTTTCTTTAAATATACTTGCACACATTAGATCCCTATTACCCTGTATAATCTTTTTAAAGCATTCATTTTTTCTTGTGTGTTTAAAGTAATTAAGAGTAAATACTGTCACTGCAGCTACCAACTGTGATGTTTGTCTTTCCTATGAAATCTCCAGAATGCCATTCAAAAGAAATATAATTTAACAACATTCATGAGCCTTACCTCATCTAGGCACTGGAAAGCAGGACTAGCAGAGACATCAGCATTGGCAGAGGGCTGCTCTTCTAGTGGGAGAGAAGCATCAGGTGCAAGGGCCACTAGAGGGGTGACTTCTTCCATTCCCTTGTACACCTCTTGTTCTTCTACCTCCACTTCTCCTCTGCTGGGAGGCCTGCTACCCTGCTGCTCCTCAGATAGACTCACTAAAGCAAAACACATAAATCTAATCTAATGATAGGTAGACAGGTATGTGTAGACATGTCGAAATACAAGCAAAGGCGCACTAGTACAGCAAAGTACAAGTACAGTTTTAATATGGATAGTTGTCTTTTTTCACCACTACAGAATATATTTAAACATATAAATATGATGACGATGATAAAGTATAGACTACACAGTAGTGGAATCAGTTTAACATGTGAAAATTATGCTTTTATTTAGAAAGGTTCGAGTTGGAAGCACAGGGTTGGAAGTTTTTTATAATCATCTTAATAAAATAAAACTGTCGTTCTTGCGACTTCCATTATATTTATTATATGAGATAGTTTAAAAGCCTGTTGACCCAAAGTACGCATCAGCTCAAATGAAACAGTTTATCATCTTTAACAATGCCATTCTTACAAAATAACGCTGTTTGGACGACTGTTCTGATATACCACTGTCGCACATGTAAAACTCTGATACAGACCCTTTTGAGCTTCTTTATTGCACCAAAACGCGTTTGTTTATGTAAAAGTACACCAGATGGATGCATACGGTTGAAATCTGTGTTCATACCATTAAAAACATTACGCCCTTTAACTAGCTACAGTGAGTTAACACAACAGCTAATAAATGTTTGTGTCGTTGTTTGTCTGCTAAAGTTAAACAAAAAACCCTAAAACATTTATATAAACGTCTTACTTTTGAATATGTTGAATCTTCGCACACGCCCTCAAGATTTTCGTCCCTTTGTCCTGTAAAACTTTAAAAACATACGCCCTGAAAAGTTTAAACACAGCTAACGTTAGCAAAAAAACACCAATCACAGATTTCTCTCTGGTGGTTGAATGGCGTGTTGTGGTTACCACAGCAACGACGCCATACGTCCCCAATAACCTCAGGTGAAATCAGTTATTTTCACATTTTGCAGAAGCTATATTTAGCTTTTGCGCCTTAAAGATAGCATTTGACGATTTGCAAAGATGTAAAAGTTTTAAACAAATGCACTTATAAGAGCCAAAATCTTATTTTACACTTGCGGTCACTGTCCAGCAGATGGCGCGAAAGAATAATTTACTGCAGTCAGACAGCAGCACGCCATCATGTGTCATGATTGGGCACACAGAACAGAATCAAAGGCCAGCTGACGGGAATACATTAATTGAAAGCACTTACATGAACGTGGATTCCCCTGAGCTTAATCCAAGGTTGTAATGATGCAATATTGCTGCCTCTTTCCCACAGTGCACTCTGGGAGATTGCATGGCCCATAACTCTGCAACAGCTGTACCGATGTGTTATCTCAGCAAGGTACTCTGTGTGTGCATGCCAGTACATGCAAAAATGTATGAAAGAGACAGAGATCCCTTTTGACATGATATAACTGCTAAAATGTTGGGTGCCACCAAACAAGAAGCACCTTTAACACTGTCTCTGTATGGTATGGTCAGCATTGAGTCTTTGTCAATTATGAACTGTGTTTTCTCCGTTAGAATGTTCCTGATTTACCTTGTTATTACCGCCTGTAGCACAAACAACCCTCCACTTCAAAGGCAAAAATGCACAAAACCATATGGCTTAACATATGTTACAGGTATGTGCATTTAACATGGTGTGAGGGTGAGTATATCATGTGTACCAGGAAGAAATGGCTGACACACACTCAAACAACCCCTAATGTTGTGTATTTATGTTTGCATACACGTATTCACCAGACCTTTCTGGGTTTAACTGCCATTATCACAGTAATGGCTGTGTCTATTACTCAGCTTAAATTCATATCAACCATATCAGACCAACTGAGTGAGTACACTTTTTTGCAATTTTGTTTTTTTGGCAGGGGAGATGTACTATTTTTGAGCACAAAGTCAACAACTAAAATGTCTCCAGATTTTTCCAGTGATACCAGTTTTGTTTGACACATTGCCCTTTGTTTCAAAAATAGTGACACAGGGGAGACAGCATCAATTCTCAGGCACAAGATTATAGCTTTTGAGAACCAAAATTCATGCAGGACAGAAACACCATCTACTGTTCCATTTATTGTGATGAATGAAAAAGGAGAGGAATGAAGGCGAGTGCCATCCTCTTTGTACATGTAAGACCAAATGACACTTTTGAAGACAGACTCTCTAATTAAACCTGTTAATTATGTACACATACTTTTACCACCCCTTGTTAAATCCAATTAAGTCATCCGGTACATTGGGATGAAGGTTTTTCGCAGAATCTAGGGTTTCCAAATTAACCTTGGATCTTCTCCAACAGTCTGGAGATGCTAACTTCTGAATCCTGGCAGACTTCAGTGTATTTTCTAATGAAAATATTCTCCTCCATGTGCTCATATTACCATTTTTGGCTAAATAAAACATAAGCCCTAGTTTTACAGCTATTTTGGGGGAGAGCAACTTAAAATTGCAAACGTAAGTGGGAATAATAGAAGGACCCTAAAAGTTTAAGAGTTGTTTGTTGCTGAGTCAGTCGTTGCACTGACATAAACTTTACCATTCTATAGTGCTTATACATATTTTGCAGATGTTGCTTTATCCTTTCATCTCAGTCTAACTGATAAAATATGCTGACTATATATGTTATATTCTGTTGACCATGTCTTCCCGTCAACACAACCAAAATTCTTGGTGTGAGATTCTTCGACCAAAATTCACTTGGTTCAATATTTTGTACCTGCAATACTTGCAAAACAAATGGTATTCTCATCAGCCTCAGTTGTACTTTATGTTTTGTACTAATTAGCAAATGTTAGCACACTTTTATCCAAAAAGGACAGAGGGTAACCTCTGCTGCTATCCTCTGGTTTTGTGAACTCTGTGTGCAAGTCAAGAACCACAGCAAACATGGGGGTCACATAGTGTGTGTGCATGAGCTGTGTGTTGGGTTTTCTCACCAGCCCATGCACAAACCAGGCCTTTGGAAAAAGTTAGTGTTCTCCAGGTCTCTGTTTTACTGCTGTATTGTAGTCACAACAAACGCAACTTGGGGACTGGGGGTAATTTTACAACCCCCCTCCACCTCCAGGTTCCTCTCTTTCATGTGTGGTTGGGTGTTGCAAGACCATTTAAAATGTCCTAATTAAGACACACACACACAAACACACACACACATACACACACACACACAATGCACAGTGTTCTTTTTCCAAACACAAAATCTGTTGTTTCAATTTCTCATTTCTCAAGACTTTGCTCTTCAGACAATGCATCTGGAGACAGTTTTTAAACAGATGTTTACAGTCTCCTAAAACCTTAAAACCGGCTTTTTATTGAAGCTCGGACCAAATGATTCTTAAACTGGCTAGTATTTGTGTCACTGAGAAATCTTTATCTTATATTTAAAGATAGAATGGGATGTAACAGGAGTTAAAGTGGCATGGGATGTTATGATTATTGTAAGTAATTTCACCTGAGGGATGGAAACGTAACCTAATCTAACTCACTATTGTCCTCATTGTTCAATCAATCTTCATACTGTTGAGTTGACATTCTGTATAAATATTTAGCACCATCAAATCGGAGTGGATTAATAGACTACCTAAAACATAAATTACTAAGAAAATGAGAACTGCTTTTGGCAAACTATGAGTCTGATGTCATTCCTCAGAGTCTTTGGAGTTAGATCTCTGCGGAGAATCAGGGCATTGTTCCAAAGTGTGTCATTGGACAGACCAGAGGCCCAGAAGAAGACTCTTTTACTGTAATGCAGACTGTAAGACCCCCTAAGGCTTGGACTCCTCTGACTCACCTCAGTATGTGGTTATCCAGACAAAAAATAAAAATGCGTCTCTAAGACAACTAAAACCATGTGTGTGAGCCTTTAACAGCTGTACACATTTTCTAAACAATATCTTGACTCATTTGGAGAGGATCCTGATCTCTGAAGAGCACTTAAATCATCAATAACTTGAACAAAAGTTGCAATTCATTAGGAAACATAAGGACATGAAGTGTTTCAGGCACTGGGATTCAAAGGATCACAGGATCTTATGGACAGGCCACAAGCTTGAACCCAATGAATAATGTGAAATATATGGTCATAAAGGTTGTGTATTATACTGTGGTGAATATTATGTGTCATATTTGACTGTATTATAATGCTATTCCTTTCTTTGGCATCAGATAGTATCATCAGGCATCCTGAAAATACTACAGCCATTTTGAATCATGTAACATTATTACATTTCCCAACGTCATGTCAGATCTTTAAATTGTGGTATATCAGAAGTACCTTTTGGGTGTCAACACATGCAAGTTAATTATATTTACAACCTGCTAGACTCATAGGATTATATCACTTTCAGCACTATTCGGACAACACCTGGTCTAAATATGGTATGCGTGTGTGTGTGTATGTGTGTAATGTTTTTAACACACTAAATTTAGCTTTGTTAAACGTTAGGTCTTTGGCAGGAAAAACATTTTTAATCAATGATTTATAATAACTCACAATCTTAATTTCATGTTTTTAACTGAAACTTGGTTGGACCAAGATAACAGTGCAGCTGTCCTTATCGAGTGTGCCCCTCCCAACTTCAGTTTTATGAGTGAAACCAGAGTGCATAAGAGAGGAGGTGGAGTTGCCATTTTGTTTAATGACTCCCTCCAATGCAAAAAGATGTCTTATGGGAATTTTGCTTCTTTTGAATATGTGGCTCTTCAGCTGAATTCCTCTTCTCAAGCTATTTTTCTAAATATCTACAGGTCCCCTAAATACTGTGCAACCTTTTTTGATGACTTTGGTGAACTGCTGTCTATAATCTGTATTGACTTTGACTGTGTGGTTATTGTTGGTGATTTTAACATCCATGTTGACAACCCCCAGGAAAGAGGGACTAAAGAACTGTTTTGTGTTCTTGATAATTATGGACTGACTCAACATGTGACGAGGCCCACGCACAATAAGGGGCACACTTTGGACTCGGTCATCTCCAAGGGTCTGGACATTTCCAAGGTTGTGGTGACTGATGTTGCTCTCTCTGATCATTCCTGTGTTTTCTTTGAGAGTGCTATCTGCATGCACACAAATGTTAAAACAGATGTGATCACAAAACGGCATATCACTGAAAACACTAGTGAAAAATTTATTGAGGCTTTCTCCTCAACACCCGCCCTCTCAAGGGTCTCAGTCAATGAGCTTTTAGATAATTTCAGTTCTAAAATGACAAATGTTATTGATGCCATTGCACCAGCCAAGGTGAAGGTGGTCTCTGGTAAGAGAAGATCTCCATGGAGAAATGCCACGCTGGTTAGAACTCAAAAAAGAGAGTGTCGAAATGCTGAACGCAGGTGGCGGAAAACAAATCTCCAGGTTCGTTATGACATCTATAAAGAGAGACTTTGCATTTATAATTTAGAGCTGAGAAATGCAAGGCGGTCCTTCTTCTCTGACATCATCATCAAAAACACTAATAATGCATGTGCCCTGTTTGCTACTGTCGACAGGCTAACCAACCCTCCTGTGTCTGTAGCCTCTGAACTTCTATCCACCAGGGCCTGCAATGAATTTGCCTCCTTCTTCACAGACAAAATTCAAACAATTAGACAAGCAATCAGTGCCTCCATGTCAGTAACAGGATATGTCTTGTCCCTGTGTCCACTTAAAAAGAATTCATTTAGCATGAGACAATTTGATTCAATTAACCATAAAAACCCGGAGGACATAATACAACATCTGAAATCCTCCTCATGCTGCCTTGATATTTTGCCAACAGGTTTGTTCAAAAATGTGTCTAAATGCATGGCCTCAGATTTACTACAAATTGTCAACATGTCACTCCTCTCAGGTTTTTTCCTACAGGGCCTGAAAACTGCAGTCATTAAGC